CAGAGCAAGCAGGGATTTTTTTGGGAGGGCGTACGGAGCTGTCCCATCCTAAGATGCAATGCAGGGGGTTGTTTGGTGCTTATTTATCAGTACATTTAAATCAGACTTCCCTCATGGGCAGCAGGAGTTTCAGACCACAGCTTTGGGGTAGCGCTGCTTGAGCAGGGCGGGGGCAGTGACACCTGGTGCGTGCCCCCTCTGCGACGTCCTTCTGGGAGCGTTTGGCTGTGAAACCAGCCCCCCCTGGCCTGCCTGGCTGATGTGCCTTCCCTCGCACAGGTCCCTGCTCATGTTTACCATGGAGAACTGTTTCTACCTGCTCATCTCCCAGGCGGTTCGGTACCTGCGGGACCCGGCCGTGCACCCCCGTGACAAGCAGCGCATGAAGCAGGAGCTGAGCTCGGAGCTGGTGAGCTGCCAGTGGTTCTCCTGGGGGAAGGGCGTTTGTCTGGCTGCCCAAGCAGGAGCCAGCAGCCCTGGGCTGCCCGTGCCTGGTCCTGTGCCCTCGCTGGGGTGGGGAGGGGCCTGTTGGAAGGCAGCTAACCTGTCGCTCGCTTCTCCTTCCAGAGCACGCTGCTCTCCAGCCTGTCCCGGTACTTCCGCCGCGGCGGGCCCTCCTCACCCGCCAGCGGGGTGCTGCCCTCTCCCCAAGGAAAGTCAGCCTCCAGGCTGGGTCCCGAGGGGCAGGAGCCTTTGTTTCAGCTCGTGCAGGCCTTCGTCCGGCACGTCCAGAGATAGATTCTCCCCTGCCCCCACCTCCCTCGTCAGAACGTGCACCGGGAGGATTCGCGTCCACCGCAGAAGGCGTCACCTTTGGCAGAGCTCTGACAAGGCCTGGGAGGGGAGGGAGGCCTGCTGTGGGCAGGGGTGTAACCCAGCTGGAACATCAGCTGCGAGATCCCCTTGAACTCTTGCCACCAGTAGCAGAGGGAACTTGAGGAGAGCCCGGAGCGGCTCCTGGTGGGGGAGCCCACGTGTGCAGCCTGCTGGCTGCCCCTGGAGAGCAGCCCGGCTGCCTGCGAGGGCTCAGCGCTCAAAACCTTTATTTTTCTAGCTCGTACCTCCGCTGGGGGAGCCGGGGCTGGGGGAGAGAGGAGACAAACTTCCCGCCGGGCATTAACTCTGCTCTTCACACAAGGTGCAGTCTGCCTCTCCCTCGCAGTCACGGCCCGGTCCAGGCACGGCCGAGGGGTCACCCAGCAACTCAGAGACCACCTTTCTACTGCTATTTTTGTACGGAATGGTTCCAGGCAGGTGGTGTGTGTGTGTGTGTGCTCACGCCTCTCCTTCGCCCCGCAGCCCGCGTGTTGTGTGTGTTTCTGGAGAGCAAGGCCTTGCTCCAGGTTTTTCAGTCAAAAATTCCATTGCTCCAGTCTTGCAGGTTTTTTAACTGTGCCCTATTTATACTGATATTAAAACCTTTATAGACAGCAGCCGGGTTTGTGGGTTTGTGTTGGACACAGCCGCCTGCAGCACGGGTTCTGCACCTTCCCTGTAGCAGTTCTGCCAGGCTGAAGCCCCAGCAAACGGTGATGTGGCTTGTGACTGACAGCCCAGATATCATTTGAGGCAATTATAATCAAAGGTTGATTCCCTTGGCTTCCCCACACCCACTCCCTTTCTCTTCCTGTCATGTTGGGGAACTCGTAGGAGGTTTTAAACAAGCATCACTATAAAATACTCCTCAGAAATTAGTCTCCTGCACGTGGTGATGTGGGCCACGTGCAGGGATTATGCTGTGCACGGGCCCAAGCTGCTTCTCTGCCAGGTGCAGCAGCAGGGGAGGGTGTGGGTTCAAGCTAGAAGTCAGACACTGTCTGGAGTGAATTGAGAGCATTGTGCTGTTGTAGTTCTCCCAGGCAGATCAACAAACTCTTCAAGGTTCTGAGGCTCAATGTGTGATGGAAACAGTAAGAGAAGGTCAGTGATTATTGCTTAAAATAAAGCCTGAAATCTAGACAGACTTTTCTAAGGTAAGAAATCAAATTTCAGTGTAGCTGTGAGCGAGTAATTCTTTCCTGAAGAGACACTTGATTGCTTTACCAGTCAGAACCTTTTTAATCTCGATGGTTTTAAGAGACCAGAGCGAGAGAATTAGATTATCTTGCTTTGAGGGTTTGTTTTTTTCCATGTAATTTTAAGCGATGGTGATATTCTAGCACACCCTTTGATCTAGTTTTCCTCACCCTGGAGACACTGGAGGGATCTGGACTAGCTGGCTGGAGCACAGTGGTCTTAAAGTAGAAGGGAGAGGTGCTGATTACCTTCCAAAAACGGGGGTGAGCTGCTCTGGCAGGGAGGGAGGTGCTGTGACAGCCCTAAGCCTGGGGGTGTTGAGAGGGGGTTACCTGTAACCGTGTAAGTAACCACGGCTGTGAAGGTGGAGGGTTGAAGACAGCAGATTGGTGCTGGTGGCTGTGGGGAGGGGAAGCAGAGCCAGAGCAGTATGTCTGGGCAAGGTCAGTAGTGCTCGGGGCTGTTGGTACCTCTGGAGGGTCTCTCCTTTGGTTACAGCTTTTGAAGTCTGGCACAGTGTACAAATCACTTCATCAGTGTTTGACAAGGGACAGGGTGAGAATTTGGGGAGAAGCAATACGCTCTTTTAGATATTTACTGGAGCACTGGTGAGTTTGTGGTGCTAGGCAGGAGTCCTTGGTGCCCTGTAGCAAAGAGCAGAGGGTGCTGCTGGGTATATCTATGGTTTAGAGCTGTAGCTTCACTTCAGACAGGGGCATTTCAGCCCCGAGTTGTTCCTTCACCTGCCCCTCGGCCACAGAGGGGCCTGGGGCTGCCTGCAGCCAAGGGTGGCTGACCCCGACCCCTGAAGAGAGTGTAAATCCCTTCGCTGGAGCTGCTCAGAAGCAGCAATAGGTTTTCTCTGGACCCTTCTGCAGGGAGAAGGGAGTGCTGGTGCCAGGAGCAGGCTTCCTTCTGGCTCTTCCAAGGGGAGAGACACCATTTTGTGCATCACTGAGCTGCTGCTGGTTTTGCTGAAGCTGTTCTTCCCCTTCCCTTACTGCACCAGGGAGAAGAGGAACAGGGAAAGGGGGGTGTCAGTGGCCTGAGGGAGAGGTATCCATACTGGGAGGGGAACAGGCAAGGGCAGAACTGTGGTATTTGGAATCACAGCAGTTGTAAAACTAAAACAGTAACATAATTTGATTTCCCTGTTCCCTTTTATTTGAGTTTAACTAGGAAAACAGCACAACTGCTACACTGCAGAGCATTTCAACAGCTGCTTTTCCCAGGAGTTCTTTCCAAGCTGGGTGCTAGGGACAAGGCTTTACTATTTTAAGTTAGCAGCAGATCTGGTTTCCATAACAATAAGAAAGGTCTGTTAGATCTAGAGTAGCATTCCCAGTCTCCCAGCAGCTAAAGTCATACCACTGCTGTAGTTTTGCTTCAGGTTAAGGAGGAGCTGTTGTTTCTTAGAGTTCCTGAACCTGTGAAAGGTACAACTGGGAAAGGAATGACAAGACACTGAGGCAGGTTTAGAGTGTTAGCTGGGACACAAGGGGGTAGCAGCTTTGTTCTGTCACACCCAGCTTCCAGGACTGGGCTGGAACAGCTCCCACCCGAGCTGCCTCCCTGCCAGTGCTGCTGGTCCCTGCAGCTGTGTGGCTGGAAAGCAAGGGCAGCCCCAAACCCAGACAAGACACTGAGGCAGGAGGTCAGGCAGTTCATTTATTGGCAAATAAGTGCTGAAAACCATGAGCCCTACATACACAGGAGCTCGGTGCCCTGTTACATTAGAGTGGTCACAATACCATTGGGGAAAGTGCAAAAAGATCAATAAACAAGCAAAGTTAGTTGTGACATACTGAGGGGAAGGTTGTGAACAGAGAGCTTGGTGCAGGTGAGCTTCTCTTCCATCCAGCTTGAGTGGAAAACTAGTTACAGAGCAGCAGAAGTGCTTTAGGTGAGCTCTAGCTGTAAAGCTCCTTATGGGATTAAAAGGCATACAGAGCTGAGCACTCCCTTTGGGCTGAACCACCACACACCTCAGGGCAGCCTGGATTGTTCAGTGTGTGTTGGGCCAGGAACAGCTCGGTGGTGGTGACAACAGCAAGTGGGACCATCCCTTTCTGTACTAGGATGCACCAAGTCTGTTCCCTGCAGAGCTGGGAGGGGAAGCATTAGTTAAATCCATGGTCTAGGGTGAAAATAAAGTCAGGCTAAAACATGCCTGGAACACACACGCTGAAAGAAAAGCCTGGACAACTGACACGGGGAGCAAAGCTTGTAAAAAGGCTTGTAAACATTGCAGTCCAAGAGCAGTTTCTCAGAGGAGATGCAAGCAAGATGCATGGTCCCTTGCACTGAGGTTTGATTTTCAACATACGGGCCCTGTGTTATCAGGCTGGTCTTCACAAAGCCATTTCCTTCCCACTTCAGAGGATGGCTCTAGAGTGAGGCTGTCAGGCAGCAGGACAGGAAGCGTGGCTCAGGGAGCCCTCTGCCCCCAGCCCCCACGCCTCAGCAAGGTGGGTGGGTTTGCCAGGCTCTCAATGCTTAAATTCCACTTCCTTGCCTTAAGAGCCAGGACATGTCAGAGGGTTTGTGTGGGGCACTTCCCCTGGAATGCTTCATGGTTTGACTCAGGGAATTCTACTGAAGAGGAGAGAGGACAGGAGGACAGACAGGCACTAACCCACACCAGACACAAGGGAAGTGTAACTTAAACTCCATGAGCAGCTGCAGGACACAGCTTGCTGGCCCTGAAAGCCACTGCTGTGAACAAGCCTAGGGTAGGGTAGAAAAAGGAAATCAAGACTATCCTCAAAGCAGGCTGCACTGGTAGTTAACGAATTCCACCTTGGGTGCCATCAGCCCTTTCCCCAAACCCAACCACAACAGTTCTACCACTTCCCACAGTGCCCATACTAGCAATGGAGTGTCAGCCCCGAAGAGAGCAATGGTCCCGGATGAAGAAACCCGCATTAGAAGTGCCAGGAGATGAGGGGTGCATTCTGCTTGTACATTCTTCTTCCTGGAGACATTTAACTTAACAGTTCCAAGTAAGTGACAGGAACTTTCCCCTTCTGGTTCCCTCTTTCCCCTATGAGCCAGTCTGGATCCATGCCCGGCAGGCTGTACACAGTGATCATCTGGGGAGAGAAGATGGTGTTAGACAGGACCTGGCTCTGCAGACAGAACCAAGAAGCTCAGTGAGATGGGCACTGAAGGGAGCAGTAATTCCTGATGTGGATTTAGCAGGTTCCCTTGCCCTGGAGCCATCTGCAGCTTTAACAGAAGAGCTACAGAAATCTGCCCAGTCACATCCCTGATGCCTTTTCGTTCTCCAAATTGACTTAAGGTGTTTTTGCATACCAGGTGGCACATCAGGGCTACGTCATCCGTCCTGAATGCAATGGTTCAGTCTAGGGAACAAGAGAGTTTGTAACTTGCTGAATTCCCTTTTTTCTCAGTGTGATTAGACTGGGCCTCCAGCCAGTAGCTTATGCCATTGCTCTCAGAGGTAGCTCTGAGGGTCTCAGTGAAGATAAAAAGTGTTGGGGTATTTTCTTAGCTGGGTACAGCCAGATTCCAACAGGACTCGAAGTTACTGGGTTGATGTTCTTAAATAGTAAACAGCCATGAGCACAAGCTTGCTCAGTGGATACTAGTGTCAAGGAAAAGACTCAATTAACAGTTCCATAAAACAAGGGTTTTAAGGGCAGGAAACATCACCTAAACCTGGCTGAGCATACAATGGGCTGCTACATCGTCACAGCAAAATGGAAGACAGAGGAAAGCCACCAACCTCATCTGCAAGAAGTGCCAGCTCAGTGCTGTCGGCTGCTTCGTAATCGTAGAGGACTCTGGCCTTCCGCGTCCCACTGGCAGGGGGCTTCACCTCATTTGGGTTCAGTACACTCTCTGCCACTGTATTAGGCACCCCGACAATGGTGGGCACAACTGGGATAGTAGGCACAGCGGGGAGGGGGGCAGCAGCAGCAGCAGCTGGAGGAGAGGTGGCAGCTGCAGGAGATGTGGATTCCGTGTTGCCTACAAATGTGCCTGAAAATCTTACAGAGGAGATGAAAAGAAATGGTTCAGCAAGGCTCTAGCATGAGGAACCAAGATCAGCCAGCAGCTGTAAGACATCTCCCCTGCCCTCCCAGAGGGGAAATGCACTCAGTTCTCAGGTGCTGACTATGCAACAGGTAATACTTGTCTGCTAACTTTGATTCCAGTGTCCTGGCACAGGACGGGCACCCAGCTAACCCAGTATGAGCCTGTGGCGTGGCACCAGGGAGGGCTCTGGGCAGCTGCTGCCCTTGGCTCTGCACTTGTACTGGGCCCATTGCCCTGTGTCCTCACCCCGCTCTCACACGGTCTGTGCTATTTGTTTAGTCTGCTGGTTCTGCAGGGAAGGGACAGTGGTCGTTGCCATTGAACAGGTGCCACAACTGGAGGCTCCCAGGCTTTCTGGGCTCTCTAGAGGAATGGAGCTCGGCCTCGTTTATCTGTAGGCACCCCCTCTGCACTAAGGGAGGGCAGCTCTGCCCCTTGCCAGCCTTTGCAGGGACTCTGCAGAGCAGGGCTGAGGTGGAGAGCTCTTAGAGCCAGCCCTGCACCACGCCGTACTTACATTTCTCCTTTGGAGCTGCAAGCATGGAAAAGAATGGAACAGGAGAAGTGAGTGACCACACAGAGGCAACAGCCCCCCCTGGGTGAGGCTGACGTGCCAGGTACCAGACAGAACAGCCCAGCCCAGCCCCTGCCCCTGCCCAGGGCAGCTCTGAGGCAGCAGCACAGAACTGGGTGCTGCTACAGCTGAGCAGGCTCACGCTCGCTGCCTGGCAACGGGAATTTGTCTCCCATGCGATTAAGCTAATTTAGAGGAAGAATGTTTCAATTCTCATGGCCATCATGCATTGAGATGAATGTATAAACCCCGGGTGAATCCAAGGCCTGCTCTAAATGCACTATCACCAGGATTAGTCACCATTCCATAAGCTCAGAAGCTCAGTCAGAGCTCAGAGGGGGCTTTATAACTTCTGCCCGACACGATGGGGTGGGGTGGGGCAGGAGGCCTGAGCTAGGGGCAGTGGGATGAGTAACCCTCCGAGAGGTAACAGCTGTCTCTTGTCTCACCTGCCCAGTTGCTTCTGCAGGTCCAGCATGTACTGGTAACACTGAGCATAGTAGTTGGTCTGAGACTCCACGAACTCGTGGAGACAGCGAAGATGATTCACCTGGAGGGAGAAGGACCA